TGTACCTCTGGTGCGACGCGCAGCTGCGCACCTGGGTGCCGGGGCACGGGAGGCAACACCCAGCTAAGTCAGGAACATTAATTTCTCAGCGTTAACACGCCGCCTCCGGTGTATAACTACCGGTACGAGGGAGCACTCTCCTCGCAGTGCAGCAGTACCTTAAGAAAGGCTTACGGGGGTCTCAACCATCTCCTACAAGGAGCGTCTGCACAAAAGGGGTACTTGCCTAGCGACGCTGCTACAGCTCGTGCCAGCACACTTCAGTCGCCTGGTCCTGGGATGAGGACCATCACGATGCAAGTGCTTCGCTGGCTTAACGATCACGAAGACATCGCCAAGCGCTTCGCTGGCTTAACGATCTACTTCATACATCCCGCAGCGGCCAAAGCCTGCCCCGCGCTTTGGCAACGCGGCGCTGCAAATTCGACACCAGCCACAACAAAGGGAAGAAGAGATAAAAAGGGATTTAATGCTGTCAGGCCTGCTAACCCCCAAATTCCATCAGAAGCAAAAACCACAGAGGACTGAACCTGGATTAGTCCAAATATCCGCTCCATCTGCGTAATTCCGATTTTCCTGCCACGTGTTTATTCCTAAACTAGACACAGCCTTCCATCGCTCCCAATGGCTTTCCCCTTATAAATCCATCAGCTCTACCTTCCCAAAACAGCACGGCCTCCCGCAGACCTGCTCCTCCCACCCCGTCCCCTCTCGCCACGCACCGTGCCATCTCACATTCCTCCATTCAATGGTTTCTGCCCACAGTCAACAAATGTCAGGAAAATACAGACTGACCTGTTTGCTCCTGCATCGAACAAAGGAGAGAAGGTGGCTTTAGGAGTAGTTCTTTTTAGCTTTTTTTTTTTCCCCCGAAGGAGAAGGAGGAGGACGGCAAGTCAAACCACTGGTAGGCATAGATTTCTTTTTTTTCCCCCAGTTCTTTATTTTACAAAAATAACTTACAAATAGAGACAACTTTCAGAAGTACGATCATTCATTCTGTGCATAAGGATACAGCTTTGTAAAGTACAGGCGTAGGAGTTAACAACTCTTACAATACTGTTAAGTTTAACATGACGGTAACTATATTACAGTACATACATTTCGTGCTCCAGACGCGTGGGTACGACCACCACGTAAAGCTACGGTCGATAAAGTGTGCCAGCCAGGGAGGATGCGCCTAAGAAATCATTTCCATTCCGCTATTTATCATCACCCCTTTACCTACGATAGCTGAAACCAAACGGCAATCTAACACTCGGACTACAGCACTCTGGATACACTCATCAGCAATATACTTCAAATACATGATAAAAATATATTTAATTTTCAAATACAATTGTATAAGGTACACCAAGAGCCAGAAAATAAAGTCTCGAGCTTTTAAATACAACACACTATATATATAACATATACAAGGAGACGAGAGGGCATCTACATGTGGAAGAAAAAGCTTATCCTGGAAATGCATGTTATCTATGGTACACAATGGCTTTGTCTGCTAGAAAGTCATTTCCATTTGCATAGCGTTGTTGAGAAGTCCAGAGCAGGCTAGGAGGAGATGAAACAAAACACACCATCAAAAGGCTTAATTTTGGTACCACGTCCACCTTGCAACTGATTCTACTCTTAAATTACACTTTGCTATTTTTCTCTTTCGTAGGCTGGAATTCATGCCCCGTTCGTAACAAGCACAGGGAAAAGGGTGGGGAAGGAAGAAAACACCAAAAAAACCCGACACACAAAAAACAAAGGTCAGAGAATCAAGGAGGTTTCTTTATGGGGTTGCAGTCATTTGGCATTTTGCTCCAGAGCAGAGTATTCTGCTTCCGACACTCTGGAAGCATCGATAAGTTTAGTGAGACCGGTTTTGGCAGAGTACTTGAAAATAAAGGCTTTCATGAGCTCGTATCTGTAGTTGCGGTTAATGAAGCTGTACAGGATGGGGTTGACACAGCAATGGACTAGAGAGAAGCACTGAGTGATGTGAAGAGTGGCATATAAGAAGTTCTCCATCTGACAACTGAAAGGTATGAAATGAAGGCTATAGAAGATGTCAAGGAGGACAGCTACATGGTAGGGTAGCCAGCAGACGAGAAACACAACGACGTAGGAGAAAATGATCTTCCCATTGCTCTTCCTCTCTTGGTCACTGGAGGCGGAGATGGTCTTCGCAAGGAGGAAATAGAAGAGAGCAATGATGGGAAAAGGGATAAGAAAGCCCAGCACAACGGAGATGAGCTCCATGCCAATCAACCACTCTTTGAAGCTCTCCTCTGGATAGACGGGACGGCAATAGGTTTCATTGTTGGAAGAGACGGTCTTGAGATAATAGGTGTCTGGGAGAGACACGGAGAAGGCAAGAAGCCACACTAAGATGCAGATGCAGCGACGGATTATCTTCTTCTTGCGATTGCTGGAATTGGTGAAATAGGCTACTGAGAGGTATCGGTCCACACTCATGCAAGCCAAGAAGAAGATGCTGCCGTACAAGTTGATGGAAAATATAAGGTGAGTTATCTTGCACGTGATTTCTCCCATGTGCCACTGGTTATGCTGGACGAGGGAGACGACCCACACCGGAAGGGTGATGACGACACACAGATCGGCGATAGCCAGATTAAAGATGTAGAGGTGGGTTTCATAGCCAGTCATTTTGGCTTGGAGGTTGACCCACACCACAACCGAGTTGGCCACCAGCCCTATGACAAATATGAAAATGTAGAAGAAGGACAGAGTGTATAGCAGAGCACTTTTGTTGAGCGTGCCAGGGCATGTTGTCGCATCAACCGTGATGCAGTCACCGTTGTTGCACGTCCAGTTGATCTCCGTCAAGTTGGCCGTTTCCAGAAAATCGAGGATGGAAGTCAAATCAAGTGCACTCATGTTCGCTCAGTTTGGAGTTCAAGTGACCTACATGCAAAACAGGATCAAAAGAAACAACCTAAGTTAGCAGAGATATTTCTGCTGCCATCTTTGTACCAAGCACATGCAGGACACACTGTTTTAGTAACGCCCTCTTCTTGTAAGGCATTTTCCATTAAAGAGATCCGTGGAGTAAAACAACCAAAACAGACACATAGCAGAACTCATCTGGTCAACAAAAGAGGAACAGCACTAGCTTTTGTGTGATTTTTTTTTTTTTTTTTTTCCTTGCAGCTCACATCTGACATCATCAGGTTGGCGATCGTTCCCGGGTGTGAAATCCGCAAAGTACACCGTGGCCAAATAAATGTCAGGCAACTAAATCTGTCTTCTCCAGCATAAATGATGATACTATTGCTTTCAGCAGGGGAATCTTTAAGCCATTTTATCTGCACTCCCTCAAGCGTAGTAGAATTGATCTGGCTGATACACGGTACCGTAAAACATTTACCACAAGCTCTGGTCAGCATCTTGTCAAGCCCAGCTCCAGCTGCATTAAGCAGAAATGGGGAACTAAGGGGCTTTGTACCCTCATCCAATTTTAAATTTAAATCCTGCTCTGTCCTTCCCCCTTGCCTTGAATTCTATTTTACAAAGCATCCCCCACGTTTAATGATTATCACGTAGCTTTGAGAAAAGAGAGAAAAAAAAAAAAGTCAGAGCTTGACCGCTGAGTAGATCCGCTGGGCTTAAGTTTTCTTTTTAGGAGAGCGCTTTGATTTACAAAACACTCCCCCATCACAGCTGGCTCCACAACAACTGCTTCCTCCCCACCCTTTTGCTTTTCTACATCTACTTTTCTTGCCTCTTCAGCGCCTTCTTCCATCAGCAGGCAGCGGACAAAGCAAGGGGCTCCTCGTTAACTTCCTCGCCAGCAGACCCACGTGGCTTAGGCAAAATCCAAAGCCGGGCTGCTAATGACCATTGTGCTTTTGGGGTGGCGTAAAAATGCTGCCTCCCCTGCTGGGACCCTCCCACCCCACAGGGACAACAGTACCACCCATGGCAGCAGCCGGCCGCCTTGGCCCATGACCACCATCCTTCAGCCAAGCAAGTTTTGGAGCCCCGTGCCTGCAGGCTCCAGCTTGAGGCATGCCAAAATAAAGATGGAGAGGCGGGTTTCCAAGGGATGGACCCCATCTCATTCGCCCCATGGCTTCACTTCAGCCGGAGCATCAGGTTAGCCAGCCCACCCACAGTCTTCACCGTGGACACTTCTAGCATCCTGAACAATGGCCACCTTGTTCTTCCCCATGCCACCAACCCCAGCAGTGAGAGGTACCCTCTGATGCTGCCCCAGCCCCGGCGGCAACGCCAGCATAAGCAAGCGGCCGGAGAGAGCTATGGGATGGGGTGGTCCTGCAGCCACCTGTATCTCTGAACATCCCCAACCCCACCATAAGACCTCTTGATGGGGCTTACAGGAGCATGGAGGGGATAGCAAGTAGGGCAGAGCTCCCACGCTGAGCATCCTCTTCTCAGCCCTGCTCCCCGAGAAGTGACGTCGGTTGACACAGCACCTTTCGCTCCTCTATCTGCATAATCAGCTCTTCCCAAACCTCCCACCGTCTCCGCCCGCCAGGGATACAGGCGACGGAAGAGAAGGGAGATAAGGGGGAGATTACCAGGGAGGACTCAAGGCACTATTGTCCCAGTGGAAGGGAAGCTGGTGGCACTAACAATGAGGGGGGCCGTGCACACATCCAGGGCAGATCAAATCTCTCCACAAACAGGGCCCAAACTGGCCCCGCAAGGAGATCTATAGCCTGTCGCTTCAAACCTACGCGGCCTTCCAGGCTTTCATCCTGCTGGCCTGTTGAAAGACAGCGTTTAGATTCAAACCAAATTAGACACGGATTTTGCTAAAACGCTGGCTAAAGAGGCAGCCGAGACAGCGGCAGCTTTCTGTCCGGGGATGGGCGATGCCCCGTCTCCAGCTCGGGAAAGCAGAGGGTGATGTAACCCATAACTACGCAGGGCAGAAGGGCTGATCCTGCCCCCCGCAGAGACACAGGCCACCCTCAAGCTGCCTGTACCACCCGGCCGGTGCAGGCAGCAGGGATAAGCGCTGCACAGGCGCAGCTCCGCGAGATGCCGGCTTCAGCCCAGGGCTGCAAGTGGGAGAGAGGGATGGGTGTCCTGCTGGACCTCATCCCAGGTCCCGCCACTACTGCTGTGTCCCCAGCTTTTCAAAGCCTCTCAAGACAGGGGAAGCAGGCCCATCCCCAAGTCCCTGTATCTCAAAACCCCACAGCAACCAAAGCAAACTCCCTAAAAAGTCACAAAGCTTCCAGCCCTGTGGCACGGGCCACCGTCTTCCGCTAGTATTTGCGGACAGCGAGGTGAGGAGAGCTGGACGGACACCAGGCTACTCCCCAGAAATAGCACAGGTGGGTCTGGGTGTCTTCTGGGAAGGCACACGGTCCAACAAGGGGAGTGGGTTCACTCCACATCTCAAGACCCCAACTCAAGCCAACCTCCAGGATGGGGCTGTGACCACCCACCTCCAGCACATCCCCTAACGGAGACGAAACTCAGACGTGGCTGCGGGGTGTCAGATCATCGGTGCCGGCAGTGAGACAGCAACAGGGCAGCAGAAAGCCCTTGAAGCTGGGGCTCACACCAATGCTGGGGACACCACGGCCACCACCCTAGGAGAGGGCACCACCGCCCCAGCTGCTCACTCACGACCACCCTGGGGACCTCACTGGACGCAAACGATGCTCAGCCCGAATCTCAGCCTACTTCCACTCCAAGAGCAGGTTTGCTGCACGCACGTGCATCCATCCATCTGTCCGGGGCCGCCTGTGTGCTTTCGCATCCCCAGAGCGGTAATAAAAATCTGAAACCGATACGGCCTCCCAGGCTCAAAGCCCTGCCGGGGAGGGTGGCTGTATCCAGAGATTACAACCTTACGAGGCCGGACTCTCTATAGTCTGGGATTAGCTGCTGTAACCCGAGCTCCGACTCCCACCCAGATTAGCCGGGAGGTGTGGGGGAACCTACCAGACAAACTCAATAAAGCCACTCTGTACTTGTTAAAAAATACCTTTAGCGCTCTCCGCAGACAGCACAATACCCTAAAAACTCGCAAAGGCAGCTGGAACTGCGTTTTGCGTCCGCTGCGCTGCAAAGCCCTCGCAGGCCATCACCCCTTCGCCCGGCAGGCACGTGTGCTGCGGCCAGTCCCTGCTAGTTCGCAGGAGCAGTGGCACGAAGGAAAGGAGATGGACCCGCAATCCTGCTC